GTTAGAAACTTGAGGTCAGTGGCCCCTGTTATGGTTTAACTGGCAGTGGTTTAAACATATCATAGCAAAATGAAGCTGCTTTAATTGTGCTTTAATTGTGGCTGACGCTTTTCAGTTTAAATGAAGCTTTGTTTCCTAAGGTCATTATGGTACCAAGTGCAATTTCTCTTCTAAGGAAGCTGGGTCCAGGGATATTTTAGATTATCCTGAAAAGATTCTCATTTAGACTACAGGAATAAAAACACATATCTGCCAAAGGGTTTGCCCCAGGCCATCTGAATTTAGCTTCATTATTTTAGCAGAGCCAACTTCCTTAAGGAAATGTGATTCATGATGGAGAGTTTCATTGGAGGATATTTGTAGCTAACATAAAAGCTGCTTCTGTACACATGTACATATAATTTGCAGAATATCCAAATAAATCCTGATGTGAGCGTACAGCACTTGGAATAAATGCAGTGATGCCAAACTCTTGAGGGAAGAAGGGGACTTGAATACTTCATCAGTGCCTGAAGTGGGTCTGCAGCATCTGTGCATCATGGGCTTCCTTAAAGAAATTGATGTGGTGTCATCCATGTCATAAATAATGGTCAAAATTTTAGGACTTAATATGCAGGGGCTTGAAATCTTCAAAAACTCAGACAGTGATGACAGAACAGTGTTCCTGCCTTTATCAGCTCATCTCTAAATTCAACATGTCACAAGAAGGTGTGCAGAAACATCTCAACAAAAATTTCACAAAGCAGTCTGAGTAAAAGTGTGCTTCATTTCAGATGTGCACCAGCCCTGTTCCTGCTGGCCTCTGTAGCGGGTTAGACAGCAGCTAACATTCCTTCTGGGAACGTGCTGACACCTGCTCAGGATGAAGCTGATACACCTAACTTACTGCCTGAAGTAAAAAATACTACGCAGAGTAATTACCCCAACAAGCGTGTCAGAAATAGATACTTGGAAATAATACTGTCATGCCAGTGTTTCATTACTTTGAATATTCTGTCACTCCCCCCAGAGTTCTCCTAGCAAGGTAGGCCAGCCCAGGCCCTGCAGTGATTGTGTTTAACAGCAGCATAAGGAGGAGTGACAGCCACCGCTCTCTCCCACGTTATTCAGTACAGCAACACACCCAAACTGAGCTGGAATATATATTTATATCCACTGGATGATGTCTGTATCGCATTAACAAGCTTTAACACTAATGCTAATGCTTCACTAGAAGAAACATGACAAGTAGGCTGGTTCAGTGTGCATTTAGCACTGAAAGATTTCTAGCACACACAGTGAGACTTCTGTTGCTGCCTGTCAGCTTTGGCTATCTCAAATCTCTGCTCAGTCATAGGGGAGGTGCAGCCAGCAGTGCTGCCTTCCCTCCCTTGGCTGCACGGGGGTCCTGGTGCAGAGACTGATTATTTGTGTACAGGCATGGACATTTAATCCTCAGGACTGTTTCCTTCGGGGTCTCCCTCGGCAGACGCTGCAGAGGAGAGCAGAAACGGGGGCTGTGGCTTTGCCGGGTGGTCGAACGGGGCAACAAAGCCAACACTCCTGCAGGGCTTGCAGAGAGTTTGGAGCGGGGGAAATCGTTGCCGTCTCGTACATGGCAACCCGACCTAATCACCGCAACTTAGCATCACCGAGATGAAGCGGCGAAAGCATCGGTTTTAACAGGAGTAAAACCCGCCCGAGCCGGGGTGTCTCGGAGCGGTGCCATCTCGGGCGGGAAGGCGCGCCAAAGCCGGACGGGCCCCTCCCACCGGGAGCAGGTGCTCGGCAGCGAGCTGGCCGGGATGGACGGGAGCCGGGAGCGAAGAACGGGAGCCGGGAGCGAAGGAAAGGAGCCGGGAGCGAAGGAAGGGAGCTGGCAGCGAAGTAAAGGAGCCAGCAGCGAAGGAAGGGAGTGAGCCGGCAGCGGACACGTGTCCTTGGGCGGCGAAGCGGGGCTGCACGGGACAGGGACCGCCCGGGTCAGACAGCGGCTCCCCGGGCGCGGCGTGCGGCGTGGCCAGCGGGACGGTCCTGCTGCGCTCCGGGGACTGAAATAAAGCTCAGGCTCGTGTCAGTCAGGGAGCCCTCGGTCACAGGCACCTTTGTGTTTGCAGAGCTTGGGGGAGCTGATGCAGACCTGGCTGACAGCTTACGGCACGCCCGGCCAGAAGATGCTTCTCAGCTCTCCGCCAGGCTGGGAGAGGGGGAAACAGACACCACACACGGCCACTGGGCCCTGGCAGCTCCTTCCCAGCCTGCGCTTTCTGACTGCCAGAGATTTTAGGGACTGCCTGTCTCAGAGAATGGTCAGAGAAACAGAAGTTTCCTGTGACTGGTTGCAACACACCACCTCGGCAAGATGGTAAAATCACCCTGGTTTCAGGTAACCGTGCCCAATTTCATATTGAAGTTTTTTTAACGTCAACGGCAGCTTCTTGCCAACAAGTTCTTTGTATCCCCCAGCACCATATCCATCAGCCCAAACTGGTCCACAGCTACATTAGAGGGGTGAATTTCTGCTTTGTAGTGCGCTGCAGTGAGCAGTGAGGAGGCTGATGCTCCAGCTAATGCTCAGGCATAGGCCTCCTTACCCGTGGCAGGGATGTGGCCCCGCTTCCAGCTGGACTTTGGGGGTGAGCCAGAGAGAAACACCCAGGTCTGAGCTACACTGAATACTAAATGTGCACAGCTGGAATTAAAGCACTTGCACCCTCCAGGACTAAGTGGCTGTTCCTCAGTCACGTGACTGAGTTTCCTTTCTTTTTGAAGGGCTGGAATTGTGATATGTTCTCTTTTGTTTCTGACTTCTTTGCAGGCTGTGGAGATGCACATACAACCCTGGCACAGCCACGCTGAGTTCTTTTCTGCTGCGCTGGCTGGGAAGCTGTCCCACAGAGTCACGGGTGCTCCGGCAGCTGGTGAGTGGCTTCCTGGAGATGTGCAGGGCACACAGTCCTTCACACAGGACTTTTTCCCTTGGGCTCTGAGCTTCCACTCTCAGTTGTTGCGGTGTGCCGTGGGCAGCTGCTGAGGACAGCAGGGCTTTGTCAGCCACATTTGTACCTCTATCTGTGACACTGCCACTGCCAGGACAAACCTGTGACCGAGGCAGGAGCTGACACACACACACACTTCCCACTTGTTCCCCATCTCCTGGTGGGTGCCCACTCCTCCTTATCTCCTGGAGGAATGGATTTCTCTGGATTACCTCCATTTTTTCCAGAGAACCTTTGATCCTCCAGGAGAAAGATTTTGCCCAGCTCATAACTGTTGCCTGTTGGGGCCTGGCTTCCCATATCTCCACGATGCCAGGTGCCCTGCCTGCCCTTCTGTCCTGGTGCCTGCTGCAGAAGGCTCCTTGCAGGCAGCCCTGGCACGCTGCCCTCCCTGTGAAGCTGGGGAAGCTGGCACAGCCCGGGGCACTGTGATGAGGGAAACTCTGACCTGTCAGTTTGGTCTGTGCTTGCCGGAACATTTGCGTTTTCCTCCAGCCTTTTTTAATTTTGGTTTGGGTTTGTCTGTTTGCTTGTATTTCTAGGTTTGTTAGTGTTAGCTTGGTGATTGCTTTAGTTCCTGTTGCAGTTTCTGCAGTGCAGGTCCCTAGGGGATCCCCATTCTGGGAGTTTAGGGGGGAGGTCCATCCATGTGTCCCCAGACGTGCTGTGGTCAAGCTCCTTCACCCCTGGGGCGTGACGGTGAGGCTTTGCCTGGGGTAACTCTTGTCCCCACAAGATGTAACCACCCTGCTGTGGCGGTTCTTCCTCCCAGCACCCGATGACCATCTCAGGGGGACACTTGTTCCTGAGGCTTTTTCCAAGGCTTGTGCCCGGCATTCCTAGAGCAGCAGGGAAGAGCAGTGATGCCTCTCATATGGAATGGTGAGTGAACCGAGCACGGCAGAACCGAACCAAATTCAGCCGAACCAAGCTTGGCCGAACCCGGTAAGTGGCACCGAGTTCGGCCGAACCCGGCCTGCTGCTCTCGTGCCCATTAATTAGCGCGAGTGCGGTCACAGCCTAATGAGCTCCTGCCCGACCCCGCGCTCCCGGTCGTGTCCGTGCGATGGCCGGGCCGCCCGCAGGAGGCGGCAGCAGGAGAGCCCCGAGCCGGGCGAGTTTAACGTGAGGCGGCGCCGCTTTCCCGCCCTCAGGGAGCCGAGCCGAACCGAGCTGCGCCGAACACACAGAGCGGCTCCGAGTTCAGCCGAACCAAGCCGAGTTCTGCCGAAGGCACGAGCAGCTCCGAATTGGGCCGAACCGAGCCGAGTTGGGACGAACCAAAACGAGCAGCTCCGAAGGCAGCGAGCGGCTCCGACTTCAGCCGAACCGAGCCGAATCTAACCGAAACCAAAGCTTACGGGTGAGGGATGGTTTGTTAAGTTAAGGAATGCAGTAAAGAGAGGGACGTGAGAGAAGTAGGGAAGATGGGATTTACTGGAGGGTAAAGGGGAGCTAATGCAGTTTTGGGGTAAGAAGTTCAGCGGGCTGAGACAGCACAGGGAAGGCAAGAGGGAAACAGAGGCAGGGAAATCAACAGGGAAAATGCTTTGATCCAAAAGTCCATCACAGGCGCTCATTAAAGGACACGAGAGCAGGAGGCTGGGTTCGGCCCAGCTCGATTCGGTTCGGCACAGTTCGGCTGAGCAGGGCTCGATTCGGTTCGGTCCCAGTTCGGACCGCGAACTGGGCTCGTGTCAAATGCCACCCGGCTGCCTCTGACAGCAGCGGCCGTTCGGGAACGGGGAAGAGCTGGGATCGCTTCTCACCGGGAATGATCAGGGACCAAGCCTGGCTGCCACTGTGGGTGGCACGGGTCCCGTTCCGGGAGCGGGCAGGGCCCTACAGGGACACAGGGAGCCGGCGCTCGGGAAGTGCCGCCGTGGGGCCGCAGCACCGGCTCGGCTGCGGCGGGATGCGCTCGGGGGGCGCTGCCTGCAGTTCCGGTGCGCGTGCTGCAGGGGGCGCCTCGGCGGGGGCGGAGCGCCGGGGGCGAGCCCCGCCCGGGGCCGGAGCCGTGCGGGCCCCGCGGCCTTTTCTGGGTGGGCGGCGAGGGCCTGACGGGGGCTGTGGTTTGACAGCGCCTCGGGGAGAAGGGCACGGTCCCCGCGGCGGTGACTGGGCTGTAACAGGGAGCCGGACGCTGCCCGGCCATGTGGTCGGGGCCGGCTGCTGGCAAAGGGGCCGGGGCCCCCGCCCTTTCCAGGCTGCACTGTGCGCTTGGGGAGACCTTTGGGTGTCTGCGGGCATGGACGAGGCGTTCCGGAGCTCGGGCTCAGGGTGAGTACGTGCTCTCCCACCTCGGGGCTATCCCGAACTGCGGTTCCCAGCCGGGGGCAGGAGCAGCCGTGCCGGGAGCTCAGGGGCTGCCCCGGCCTGGGGCCTATCCCGCGGGAAAGTGTGACATGGCAGAGATGGGAGTCAAGGGTGCTCTGGAACTTGGAACTACACAAGTGTTTTCTAAACATATTCGCAGGGATTCAGCCGCGGGGAAGCTGCAGAGAAGGCTGCCCGGCACTGCTCCCCAAAATGGACCCTCCCCGAATGGGGTCTCGCAGAGGATGGAACAATTGCAGCCACCGCGTCATTCCTGTGAAATTCGGTAAGTCTGGGGAAGGCTTTCCTCACTGTCCCTGTCTCCGAGCCAGCTGTGTCTTGTCCAGGGCCCTGCCTGGGCAGCCCGGCTCGGCACAGCTGGGTCCCTGCTCCCAGGCTCACCGGAGGCAGAGCCACCAAAGGAAGGGGCAGGTGGGGCCTACAGCCACGGCAGGGGGAGGGAGAGGAGGCAAAGCCTCTACACCAGCCCTGGGCCCAGGAGAAGCTTCTGAGAGGCACCGGGGGCTCGTGTTTGTCCAGAAAGCTCAGGAGCTCCAGGGAGGCTCAGGGGGGTGCCCCGGCCTCTGCAGCCCTGTGACAAAAGGGGCAGGTGAGGGTCCACAGAGGTCGCTGCAGTCCTTAGAAGCAGGGTCTGCTTTCACCACTGTGTTTTGCTGCCTGCAAGGACCTGTGGTGTGCATTGGGAGCTCCTGCTGGGGCAAAAGCTTTGTCTTCCAAGAGGCAAAGCTGCAGCCTCTTCCTCCCCAGGGACTGCCTCCATGCAGGAAACAGCACAGGGGACTGGCCGAGGGGCTCAGCCTGGGACACAGCCCCAGCAGGAGCAGCCCTGGGCATGCTGGCACGGGAGGATGAGCCCAGGTGAGGAGCACGGCCCCAGTGTGGCACCAAGAGAGGCTGGCACAGGAGGATGAGCCCAGGTGAGTGCTCTGACCTGGGCAGCTTTGGGGAAGGTTGCGGGATCAGGCAGGAAGGAAGGAATGCCCCGATGCACGTGACCTGAGGAAGTCGTGCCAGGCTATGGCTGAGGGGAACGCACTGTGCTGGTTCTGGTGCTGGCCCTGCTGTGGGCCACTTTGGGGCTGGCAGCAGGGCCAGGGTCATGGCTGTGCCTCTGCATTGTCCTTGGCTGTTCCTTGGGAAGAACGTGGTTGTGCTTGTGGTTTCTGGTTGTGTGGCCTGTCCTGTCCTGGCGTGGTTTGGGGCTGCAGTGGCCATGCTCCTGGACAGGGCCCTGGCTGCAGGGGGGTTGGGACAGGAACTGGGGCTGGGATTCAGCTGTGCCTGACAATTGTGGGAGCCGTCACTGTGAAGGGAGCTGGGAGAAGGGGCTGCACCAGAGCTGCCCGGGGGTGGCTTCTCCCCACACCATCAGCAACCACCCAGGGCTGCTGCTGCTTTGGCTTCTGGTCACAGATGGGCTGGGGACGATCCTGCCCTGCTCCCCATCCCGGGGGCTTCTGGCCATTCTGGGCCCTTTGTGGCCGGTGTCATTTGCTCCTTAGTGTTGGGCTTGGCTCAGCGTTGATTGAGGGATGTGCCCTGTGGCGTGTTCAGGCTGGGATCAGGGTTGTGCTGTGCCTGGCTCAGTGATGTTTATCAGGATGGGCAGCACAGTCTGTGGCTCCCCAGTCCTGCTCTGGGGCAGGGTAAGGGTGGCTGGGGGAAGGTGCTGGGCCAGGCCAGGCTCAGCCCCAGTGTTGTTTGGTGGCTGGTTCCCACAGTGCCCCTCACCGAGCAGAGGGCTTGCAGCAATCTGTGCCTCCTCCTCTGCTCTTCTGGGCAGAAACGTGCGTTTTCTGGGCTGAGCCCTGAGCTCTCCCATTGAGATTTCTGCCTCCCTGTCCTCAGTGCACAGTCTGTGCCCAAAGCAGGGGCAGCAGGGAGGGAAGGGCTGCCCCTGCCTGGGAGGGGGGACAGGCATCTCCTGTGGGGCTGTGCTGTGCACCCTGGGGATGCTGACTGACCCCCTTTCTGCAGAGACAGAGGAGACGCTGCTGCACCACATCCCCAGGAGAGCCCCTGCCTCCCTTCTGCTCTCAGGGGTGGGACTGGGAGCCACCTCCATGCAGACAGAGAGGGGCACCTGGCCTGGCTTCACTCCCCGAGGGAAGAGGCTGCTCAGAGCTCCTGATCAGGGACATCCACGCCTGCACCTGGCTGGGAATCCAGGGTGCACCAGTTCCAGATCCAGCCGAGACGTTCCTGCTGCAGCTGCAGGTGAGCTCAGCTCTCCCTCAGGGATGCCTGTGCCTGTTACAGCTCCAGCTGATGGACACTGGACAAGAGCTGTTCCTGGTGCTCACAGCTCCTGCTGATGGACCCCTGCTGACTTATTGCTCAGGATATCTGAGGGCCCAGGTGATGTCTGTTCCTTCTGCTTGTTTCACTTGCAGGTGTTACCCAGTCCAGCTTGCTGAACCTCCAGCTCTGGCTGTGGCATGTTCTTCATTCCAGCTCTGGAACTGAGATGCTCCAGTTGATGGCTGCTCCAGTTCCTTCCAGCTCTGGCTTAGCAACTGCTGTTTTTTGTTACAAGCCACTTAAAAGCTCCAGCTAATTTCAGTTATCTGGGCTTTTGGCCAAGTTGTACATGACTCACTGTCATCAATTACATATAACTATTAACTTGGTTATAACTACTAACTCTTTCTTGTCATAGTTATTGTTTAAATAGAAGTCATAACTGTTGTAGTCGTTGTGCACAATAAACAGTTGGACATGGAAAAGGGGCTGAAAAGTGCTTTTCTTTCCTGAGACTATCTCAGACCCTTGAAACAGCCTGGGGTGTGCTGGTGTCCCCACCTTTGGGGACCAAGGTGACCGGACCCCCTCCTCCAGAGAGGGTCCTCATCCCCAGCCCTCCCACCCAAAGGCTCTCCCCTAGCCTCTGCTTTGGGGGCTGAAAGCAGGCACCTGAGCTGCTGTTGCCAGGTCTCTGGGAAGTGCCACTTGGTCATTTTTCTGAGTCCCAGAAACACTGGACTAGACCTGCATTTTCAAGAAAAGAAAATGCAGGACTTTACTTTTTCTGAGCTTCATAAACATTGGGCTGTGCTTCTGGGACCCAAAATCATCCCCCAGAGCTTGGTTTCAAGGCCCAAAAAATGCTATATTTAGTCTCTGTTCTCAACAGGTGAAAATAAGACTAAATTTTTGCCTTTAGACCCAAACCCACTGGATTTAGTCTCTGTTTTCCACTGTGAAAAATGCAGGACTTTGTCCCTTTCTGAGCTCCAAACCTGATCCCCTCAGGATGTTCCAAGCCCCCGAAACACAGCACGTGGCAGTTAAGAGCCAGCACTGCAGCTCTGTTTGTGACCCCGTGTGTGATGTAGCAGCGGGCAGCTGGAAGAGTATTGCCCACCCCTACCCCATATCCAGTTTATGGGAAGTGCTTGGGACCTGGGATGGAGGCACCCTCCGTGCCTGGTCCTGTGTGTCTGTGGGGCAGCACTGGCAGATGTGGGGAATCGCTGTATTCAGGTTTATTTCAGCTGCAGCACCTCCCACCCCGCCCGGGAACACAGCCCGGCCGGATACACCCGCTTCCAGAGGAGCATCCCTCCCTCACAGCCCGCACTCCTCCAAGCCTACCATGGCCCCGACGCCCCAGAAACTCCTCTACGAGGAGCCTCCCGCCTGTCCCCCACCCTCCGCCAGAGAAAACCGCCGGGAGCGCCGGAGCCCGCCGGCCCGAGCACCGGGATGGGGCTGTCCCCGCTGCCCCTCGGCCCCGGAACTCCCTGCCCGACCCGTGGCAGCTTCTGTCCCCACCGGCCCGGGGAGGCTCGGGCCCTGGAGTGTCTCAGCCCCAGCCCCGGCTCTCAGTCGGGACCCCCGGCCGATACCGACAGGAGCTGAACCAGAACCCCAGTCCCATTCCCGGCCCCCACCTTGGAGCCCCGGGCTCCGCGCCCGGAGCGGCCCCGGTTCGGCCCAAGTGTGAGGGGCGGGGTCGCGAGCGATCCCGGGAAGGGGGGGCGGGCTCGGGGCGGGGCCAGACGGCACAGGGGGCGGTACCGGGGGCGGGGCCTGACAGAACAGGGGGTGGTACCAGGGGCGGTGCCTGGCGGCACAAGGGACGGAACCAGGGGCGGGGCGTGGCTCAGGTGTGCAGGCCGGGCGTGGTTCAGGTGCGCGGGGCCCCAGGGCGGCTGCGCGGGGCGGGGCCGAGGTGATTTAGACCCCGGAAATTCCGTCGGCCGCCATTTGCTCACTCAGAGCACGGTGCGGACGGGAGCTCCCTGTGCGGGCTCCGCAGGTAAGGCGCGGAGGCTTCGGCCTCCCCTTCTGTCCCTCTCTCTACCCCTCCTTCCTTCTCCGCGTATTCGCTTTCTTTCTCCCCCTTCCCTCTCCCCCTGAAATGCTCCTTTCCTCTCCTCCCAAACCTGACCTCCCCCACTCCTTCCTGTTCTGTCCCTTCCCCGCTACTCCCTTATATTCCTCCTCTCTCCACCGTCCCTCTTCTCCCCCCCAGCCTTTCCCTTCCTCTCCCGCTTCCCTCCTCACTCCGACCCCTCTCCCTCCCCGTCCTCACCACCCCCATCTCTCCTGTCTCCCCATCCTCTCCTCTCCTTTCCTCGCAGCCGCAGGGCTCGGGGTGCCGGGCAATAATAAAGCCCTGAGGGCCGGAGCCCGGCGCCCCCGCCCTCGCTGGGGTCCCCACACGGGGCCGGACCCGCTCTGCAGGTGCCCCCATTGCAGTCCAACACACCGCCCGACACCGCCGGGGTTCCGGCTTTCCCAACATCACACTGGGGGGGATCCTGGGGAGGGGGTGTGGGTAGATTAGGCTGGACCCCCTCCTCCGGAGGGGGTCCGGGCAGGGGTCGGGGCTTGAGGGATAATTCTCCTTGCAGGCCTCGCCCCCTTCCCCGGACTCCTCCTACGGGGACCCCATCCTCCGAACCGGGGCCCGGGGGGAGGGAGGGGGGGTGGGTGGGGTTGGGGGGAAGCCGAGGGGGGCACGTCACTCCGCGGCGTGATCATGCATTAAAAAAAAACTTGCCAGGAACACGATCATCCGCCGTGGTCCTGCTCCCCCCACCCGGGCCCCGGTTCGGAGGATGGGGTCCCCGGGAGGGGGCCGGGGCGGGACCCCGTCCGTAGGAGGGGTCCGGGGAAGGGGGCGAGGCCTGGAAGGAGAATTACCCCCCAAGCCCCGACCCCCTCCGGAGGAGGGGGCCCTCCCCGAACCCCACCCCCCCGGGACCACCTCCTAATGAGGGGGCCCCTGTAACTCGGACCCCCCTCCCCAGGACCCCCTCCAGTGTGATGTTGGGAAAGCCGGAACCCCGGCGGTGTCGGGCGGTGTGTTGGACTGCAATGAGGGCACCCGCAGAGCGGGTCCGGCCCCGTGTGGGGACCCCAGCGAGGGCGGGGGCGCCGGGCTCCGGCCCTCAGGGCTTTATTATTGCCCGGCACCCCGAACCCCGCGGTTGCGAGGAAAGGAGAAGAGCGGGGAATGGAGAACGAGAATAGGGGACGGGTAGGTGAGGGCAGGTGGGGAGAGGTCGGGGTGTGCAGGGCAGCAGGGGATGGGGCTGGGGGGAAGGCAGGGTGGAGGAAGGAGCAGGATTGAGGACGGGTGGGGAGTGACTGGGCGGGGGGCAGGAAGTGGAGCAGGGAGGAGCCCGGTTGGGGAGGGAAGGAAGGAGAGGATGGAGGAGTAAAATAGGGGAATAGAGAGGGGGGGCGGCCGTGGGGGGGGGGGCGGGGGGGAAGGAGAGGGCTAGAGGGGAGAGGGAGGGTGTAGGGGAGGGATGGAAGGGAGAGTTGAAAGGAGCGATATAGAGAAAAACAAATACAAAGAAAACAAACGCAGAAGAAAAATATACAGGAAATGAGATATAGGGCCCCGGCCGGTCGCAACCTCCCTCACCGAACGCCGAGGAGCACATGGCTCCGCCCGGTCCTCCCGCGCCTTAAATCCCCCAAGGCCCCGCCCCGCGCAGCCGCACTGGGGTCCCTCACACCTGTGCAGGCCCCGCCCCTCACACCTGTGCCGGCCCCGCCCCCGGGGCCCCGCCTCCCCCCCGCCCACCCAAAAAACCCGGCGGAGCCACGCCTGTCCCGCTTTCTACGGGGGATGCTCAGCTCGGCATACGGCGGGAGCGTTGGTCTGAGTGCTGTGCGGGGATCCTGATCGGGGGCTGCTACTGGTGCTGCGCAGGATCCAAGGCGCTCAGGTGGGACCGGGATCTGGGCCCGGGGATTCCGGTCCTGGTCCTGCCGGTATTTCCTATGGGAGCTGGGCCAAGCCGCTTCTTCCTCGGCAGGTAGGATGCGGGTGCTGGGGCCAGAGGATCGAGGGGGGATTGAGGCTGGGATCAGGACCGGCATCACTGCGGTCGGGAAGAGCCACGCTGGGACAGGTGCTGCCACTCCGGCTGCGGCGGCAGAGAGCCGCTGCTGTGCCACTGCTATGCCCGCCAGGAGGATGACGCTTCCCGGGAGTAGCCTCTGGATTGCGGCTGGAAGCGGGAAGGACACGGAGACCGCCCGTACCAGCCCCGGGACCCCATCGGCATCGCCGCTCGCTCAGCGCCACCGCCCGCCCCGCGGGGCGCCCCCTGGCGGACACGGCGCCGCTCCGCAGCCCCCCCGGCACAGCGCCCGCAGCCCCTGCTCCGTGTCCGCACCCCCGGGGGCTGCAGCGCCCCGGCGGGAGCAGCTGCTCTGGGACGGCCGCTGGGGCCGAGGTGTTGCTGCTCCCGCTCTGATTGTGCCTGGTGTGGGACTAGAGCCCCGGGGAAATACAAGGGAAAAACCCCCAGTGTTAAAAAAACAGTGGAAAGAAACTATTTGCTCTTTATTTCCAGAGCCATGAGGATCATCGAGTCAAATGCTGAGAAGTGACGGCCCAGCTGCACATTGAACACAGAATTTTGGCCTTCTCAGTACCCTGCTCTAAACACCTGAGCCAATCCCAGGGTTGTTCCAAAGGTCCTGTGTGGGATGGGAATGACTGCTGCCAGTAAGAGAACTCCTCTACAAATGCAGCTCCTTCCCTTCTGCTAATGCTGCTTTACACACCAGCCCCTGCAATGGCTGTAGGGCAGAACTGGCTGGCACTCAACATGTCAGCACCAAACTCTTCCCCATAACCCTGCTTTTTCTGCCCTTTCCAGGATTTACCCAGCAGCTGTAAATGTGCTCACACAATGTCCCTTTGTTTCCCCAGGAACAAGACAACTCCTGAGGGTCACCTTGCTCTGTGGCAGGGGGCGTTTCCTGCAGGTGAGTGTTGCCAGGTCAAAACGATGATGGCTGCTGAGGCCAGGGCTGTTTTTCTGGCCCAGAGGCCTTGGTGTCTCCTGCTTGCTGCCAGTGATGCTCCTTGGTGTTCCCTCAGTGTGTCCCAGCTGGCTGGGAGCACAGGGCAGGAGGAGGCCAGAGGCTCCTGAAAGGCAAGCAGCACCTCGTGTCTTTGGGATCTGCAGGGGAGGAGCTGTGCCTGCACCGTGGCTCCTTGGCCAGGGGCTGCTCTGACCAGGCACATGGAAATGCTTCAGCCTGGACAGAGACCACCAACAGCCCAGAAGGACCCCAAGGAGCAGCTGGCATTACTGGGAATGGAGGCATGGGCCGTTTGCAGAGGGGCTCACACAGCAATTCCTGGTTCAGAGCTCCTACACAGCTGCCAGCTATGTCCCAGCCACCCCAAATCCCTTCCCTCCTCCCCAGCCTGAGGCCATCATCCATCAGCAGCATTAAAGCCAAGGCAGTCTTCCCCCACAGATATTAAATCCCAGGCAGTAGCCCTCAGAGATACCTGAAAATCAGTGGGATGGAGTTTGGAGTTTTCCAGGGATCCAGCTGGAAGTGCAGATGTCATGGAAAGCTTTCACAGGTAGGTCCCACTGGAGGTGTGCTGAAGACAGAGATGCACATCCCTTTCCTGAGAGAGAAGAATTTGTAGAGGCCACTGCTGAGGCTCTGAAAGGAGCTGAGCTTCTGCAGGGAGAGATGTCCCCACCTGGGCACAGGGGCTGCCTCAGCACAGGCTGGGAGCACATCTGGCCACTGCCTTCTCCTGCTTTAAAACACCAACTGCATCTTCTCCATCCTGGAGCTCAGGGGGGTGAAATCAGCTCCATTCCAGGCAGCTCTGTCCAGTGAGCCCAGGGACACCATTGGGGTGAGGGTTCTAAATAGCCAGTTCTATGGAATAGAACCCTGTCCTTGTCCCTGTGCTGCTGAGCTTCCTTGGAAGCTCTGCTGGCTCCTGACACAGCTGCTGTCCAAGGCAGCAGCTCTGCATGGGAATACCCACACTCCATGGGGCACTGTGAGGTTACTGCAGTGGGAATGGAGCAGGGAAGTTGGGGCTATGGGTATAATTCATCAGATCTAGCACAGCTGACAGGGAACCCCAAATCTGGGCACCACACAGAGAACAATCTTTGTCTTGCCCTGTCAGCTCAAACCCCTGGGCTGGGAAGTTTTGGGAATTAAATGTATGGAATTATACAAACCACAGCAAGTGGCATCACCCAGAGGGACAATCCAGGTCCCAGACAATTCCTCCACAATCCACTATGGGGGAAAGCATCCCTATGCCTGCCAGGAGCTCTGACTCTGCTTTTCCTACCAGCTCCTGAGCAGTGTCAGGGCCACCATGAGAGCTTTAAAATCCAAATAAACCCCATATCCCACATAGTGAATAATCCAAATAAAGAAATGCATTCTTGTCATCAAAGCTCAAAACTGTTAGGAGTTCTGACAACAAGTTAATGGGATTCCCAGGAATCTCATTAATGCTCTTGGTTTCATTTTTATGTATTTTTAATCCCTCAGTGGGCAGCCTGTACAACTTATCCTGGGATTTAGAGGCTGAGCAGGGCTGGCTTTGGATTGACCTTCACCTCTGGCCCCAGCCTGTGCAAACACACCTTGTGCCAGGCTGGGTGAACTCATCACCTCAGCTTTTCCCTCCTAAATATCCCCTACTTATCTCTCTGGAGATTAACTCACATTTTGCCCCAAACCATCCACTCCTCACCTCCATGTGGCCTCCAAGTGTCCATTCTGTTCCTCACAGGTGCCCTGGTGACACCATGTTGGTCCCTTTGCCTTTCTCCAGCCCAAGGCTGCTCCTCTGCTCGCTCTCTCCAGCCTCATCCCACAGGGATCCTCTTCTCCCTTCCCTGCTGGCTGCTGCCAAGGAAGGAGGACACAGTGAGTCTCCAGTGCTGACCCCTTAGCCCTGGAGAGTCCTGGCTGTGGGCCCGAGGGGCCTTGGATTTCCCAGGGAAATTGTCTGCTGGTGTCCCTTCAATTACCTCAGCAATTCCCTCAAAAATGTCACCTCACTCCCCCTGACATCCCCTCACGTTTTCCTACACAAACAGTTCTTGTATCCCCTCTAGATTACAGCAGGTTTTCATGAATGGCATCATCTATGCCCACTGCTCGTTATTCACCCAACCAAAATCAAGAGCAAATGTTGGTTAGGCTTTAATAACAACTTAAAATAACCTTAGAGCAAAATAAATCACCTTTTTCTTCTGTGTTTTTTTTCTCCTTGAAATGCTGGACTTACCTCTGAGGATGTGTGCTGAGCTCTGGGTGGAGGGGACTGTCAGGCTGAATGGCTGTGAGTTTGTGTTCTTCTCACTGGGGCATCAGCAATTCCCCCAATCCCTTTTCCCAGGCTGTTCCATGTGGCTGTGGTCAGGCTGTGGCAGCACAGGCAGACGCAGCTCTCAGCACTCCCTGCTCCAAACACAACTCTGGCCTCCACTGCAATCTGTCTTGCTGGGAGGTTTTCTCCTAGAGAAATCCAAGAATTGCTCATGGCAATTTGGAGAATGAATTTCCACAAAGGGAAGTAAGGAGCAAAATCCTGCTCCAGGAGCCCTTGGGATCTGCAGGGCTGGTTAGGGAAGGGGACATTTGCTCCCTGCAGTGCACACCCACCCACCTGCAGCACCCAGCACAGCCTGCCAGCTGGGCTCTGCCAGCCCCTCTCTGAGCACCCTCCCTGTGCTGCTCCCTCTCAGTGCCTTTGGCAATCCAACCCTGAGCCTGAGCAGCCCAAAGCTCTGTCTGGCAGCCCAGGGACAAAGGGATACTCCCAGGGTTGAGGCACATTCCCAGCAAACGCTCCCAACAGAGCACAGAGGCACCCCTGGAGCTCCTGTGTGGGGCTGGCAGGAGGGCACAGCCCCCAGCTGGGCTGGCAGTGGCAGTGACAGCAGCAAAGTGCCATGGTCTGGTGGCACAACACAGACACCAAGGCCAGCAATGCCCATGGGAGGTGCACAATTAATTCTGCTCCCTGTGCTGCCCCATCCCAGCAGGAAAGCTCCAGGGGGGATGGAAACTCCTCCCCCTTCCCCCCAGCCCCAGATAAGCACTCCTCAGTTTCAAACACCCAGTTCCCACCTCCAGCCTGCTCCCGGGGCTGCTGCCACATTCCTGACAAGGTGCCAAAGGCCACTTGGGACAGGGCTCCCTCTGTGTCTCAGGGCTTGGGGATGGCAGGGATCAGGCTGCTCCAGCAAGGACAGCCTGAAACCAGAGCAGATGTCCCAGGGTTAGCAATGGGCTGGGGACAGGAGTTCTGAAACCCAGAGTTCTGAAAACAGCCCCCAAAATGTTCTATGATCATACCCTTAAAATGGCTCCAAAGGGCAGCAGCTCCGGTGCCAGACCAGTACCTGCACGATTCCCTGTGCCAGCCCTGGCTCACTGAAAAACAAAACAAATCAACCATCACCCAGGCCTTGTTTGCAGAATTCCTGATCCAAACCCTCACCTTTCCTGCCCAGCACTGAGGGAAATCTGACACAGCATTAATAAGTGACCTTTGCTGAGAGCAGCCATCATCACAGTCCTCCAGCCTTGGCAAGATTTTGCACTGAATGGACCTAAGTTCTAATCCTAAACCTAAATTTCTGTCAGGTTTTGTTAGAAAGATACTGGACAGTAAATCATGCAACAGAATTGAAAAATGGCACAAGGAATAACAAGGCCCAGACAAAACCCAACCACCCCCATCACTGCTCCACCCCAATGTTGGGAGAAATGCTGATATCATTTCTAAATACTCCCCTTCCCTCCCACTCAGTCCTTCACTGCACATCCCTGGAGAGGACTGACTCCATCTTTTGTTGCCAACAGCACCTCTCCAGCCCAAAGCCCACTTCTCACAGACACAAACTAAGCAAGCCTAAGGCATTGTTCCCAGCAGCAGATGCAATTCCTGAACTCCCTTTCCCCTGGATTCTAAGCACTTGCAGGAAACTCACCTCAGCCCAGAGACTGTTCTGCTTTCCCAGAGGGAAATACAGCCTGATGGGCCACAGCTCTGGCACCACATTGCCCTTGTTCCTGCTGACCTGGAAAGCCACAGGTAAACCCAGTCCCTCAGAGCCCATCCCTGGGCACCAGGAGAGCTGGAGCTGTTCCCAGATGCCAGGGCCCTGCAGGGCTGTGCTGACACGAGCACAGGCTGACCACTGTGCCCAGCACCATCCCTCATTCTCCTCCCATTGCTCCCAAATCCTCCCAGCCCTGCCCCTGCATCTGTGCCAGGGCCAGTGCCTGCCCCCAGCCCGACCAGAGGCTGTCACCCAGCCCTGCACCGGCTGCCAGCCCTGGCAGAGCTGGGAATGCACTGAGAGCTCCCGAACCCCCAGAGCAGTCCTTGGGTGCACAGATAATGCCCAACCTGCCCCTCAGGGCACAGCCAACACCACAACTCCAGCATCCCCAGGGAACTCTGGCATTTGTCTCTTCACCTCTGCCCTTCTCCAGCAGACACAGCTGGGGCTGGGCTGTCAGCAATGGCATTCCCATGGCAGTTAATCCCAGCAGAGAGGAAAAGAGGAGCCCTGTGTCCCTCCGGCTCACCCCACAGCATGGGCAGGACCAGAGCCCTCCAGTGCAGACCCTGGTGCTGAGGCCTCTTGCCTTTGGCTGCTTAAACACCAAAGCTTTTGGCAAAGATGGGAGGAGTTTGATGATTTTTCCTGCCCTGAAAGAGAGGAGAAAAAGAAAATTAAATCCACTGTGGAAGTCAAAAGATCCCAGCTCTCATACTTCTGCTCTGATTGCTCACTATGGGGTTTTATCCATGAGAGGTGACACCAATTCAAACATAAACGTGTCCTTTTCCAGCACTTTTATTCCTGACTATTGCAGACATTGAAAGGATGCTCATTTTTCTTATTGCATTCTCTGCCCAATTTTAACAGAACCATTTTTATCCCAGACCCCATGTGTCAGCCATTCCATCCTTTACCATTGGACTTTGCACAAAGGAAGGGACACCCAGGATGCTGCATCACAAGAAATCCCAAAGAGAATCCCCTCCAAAACCTCACAGAGAAAGGGTTTTTGCTTTTGGGACACAAGAAAGGCCTTTGACCCTTTGCATCCACGTGGAAAGCCCACACTGAGCACTTGGTTTTAAAGATGTTGCACTTGAAGTTACAGACATGGAATTGCCTTGGGATTTGGCATTTCCTGCACCCACACAAACACATTCAAGGAATTAAGTGCAGAGTCCTGAAGTTTGGTTATTCCAATGCTGTTTCGGTAGTGCCACTTGACACACCAAAATCCACAGCAACACTTCAAAAAATGAAAAGCAACTTTCACCCTCACATCCCCCTTCCTTTTGATTTTGCAGTTTTGGGGTCCTCTTAAGAACAGGTTAAAGAGAAGAAGAAGAAAAGCCCAGGACCTACTACCAGCTAGTGCACCAGCCACCTGTTTTCCATAGATTCTCCTTACAGCTGATGGCTTTTCTAAGAAAGCTTCAGCTCAACCTTATCACAATCACCTGGCAGCACTCACTATTAGCCCCAAAGGCCAGTGCACATCTGTGTGCTACCTCAGGAAGCTCAGTCGCTCTCTGTGGGACAAAACCTGGTTTGGGCCCAAGAGCTGACTCTGCTCCCTGCTAGCTGAACTATCCAGCTGTAGGATGCAGCTGGATGCTGAAGGGCAGAGTGTGTAACCCTCTGTGAAAGCCAGGCTCCAAAGGCAGCCCTTGATGCCCCAGCAGTGCTGCTGGAAGCGCTGGCAGCACTTGGCACAGATGGGATGGAGCCTTCCCACAGCTCTGTCCCCTGGCACCGAGGGTGGCACAGCAGAGAGGCTGATGGAAGTAAAACAAACGCTGGATTTCAATGGACGCTGATGGGACTGAAAGCCCCAGCCCAGAGCTGCTCCCTGCCCAGCACAGGAGCTCCCAGTGCTGCTGCAGGGCACAGGCTCTGAGGGAACCCTGCAGCTGGGACAGGAACGCAGCAACAACAATTCCCAGGCACAAAGAGATCCCCACCTGCTCCAACAACTGAACCTCTGTGGCTCAGCCTCACGGGGTGTCCCTGCTCCAGGCAGGATGAGCCACACAGCCCCCGAGGCTGGGCTCACACCCTGCCCTACCAGCAGAAAACAAGGGGTTCATGAAGCTTTGGGGACACCTTCTGTCCCCAGAGTGCTTTGACAAAACATCCAGCAGTGTGGATCTTTAATAAAGACAGCTTGTACCTATCCTTGCAACAGACTCACCGATGTTATTTCCTCAAAGTCTCTGTTTTAAAATATTTTGCTATTACAAGTGTTTAAACAAGACTGACCATGAGCCCTGCACCCTTGCCATGCTCCAAGCCCTAAGGAAGAGCTGGATATCCTCACACTCATTCAATCTGAGGGAGCTGCTGCAGCATTTAAAACATTTCAAAACCACCCCTGCCCTGAGGGTGTCCAGCCCTGGGAGGTGCCTGGGTGCCAGCCCAGCATCAGAGATGGGACATCAGGAGACCGAGCAGACAACACCCACTGCAGCCTCTGCACTCTCAGCACTCCAGCTGCACCATCCTCATTGCTCAGGGACTCTCAGCTCTGTTTCCAGGGCTCCCATCAGGAAACTGAGGGCCCTTTCCAGATGCAAATCCCCAAAGAGCCACTGCTCTCCTCTCCACCCACCCTCCTGCTCCAACTTTTACCTCTTTGATAGCCACCACCCCACCCAGGACACAGAAGGAGGCTCTCAGGTGCCAACTGAGACCCAAATCGTTCCAGGTGGCTCAGGAAATAAACACAAACAAACTCGTCCCTTCTAGGGTAACAAAATGTCTTGGTGCCCAGTTCCTGTTTCCTAAGGCAAAACACAGGGATCAGGGGAAAATGGCAAGTCCAAAACCCAACAAAACCTGGTTTTGCATCAGTTTCCATCAGGACCGTTCAGGTTTCCCAGTGCCCCTCAGCTGCAGCCACAGGAGCAGCTTCTCTCTGGGACCCAGGGGGGTGGGCACAGGGACACCCATCCCGCTGCTTCCCGGAAAACAGAGCTCAGCCCACCCCAGAAATATAAATAACAAATGCAGTTATTGCCTTTGCCATTTATCTATTAGCTCTGGCACGGTATTATTGACCACAAAAATCCTGAGAGAGTACAATCTGTAACTACTGCTCTTGATAAAGTATAATCTGTCAGTTCATGTATGCCCTGCATAGCTTTTATAAATAGCAGTGTAATAGATACTATCTTAGACTGTAGCATAATAGAGACTGTGAAATGTTAAAATGCTTTTACATGTAAGGAACTCAGAAAAGATGTCAGATAATTAGGTGATTGCCCACATTTGGGGACAATCTTATCTGAAACACAAGATAACAGAAACAGAAACCAGAGCACCAAAAAAAAAGAAAAACTTTATTGACCCTCGTCATCAAATAACGAGGGAGTGAAAATAAAACAGGATGGCACCACAGGAAGAAATAAAATATACTGGTTTAATCCACAAGATGGCATGAAGGTTAAAACCAAGCAAAAGAACATCTAAACTCAAAGGACTGTTTGAATATGTATAAACTGCAATGAATATGCATACACCACTGCAATGTAACACAATATAGAGAACACGGTTTAAGGTAACCGGGTGCTCCTGGCAAACAGCCAAGCACTCCAGCGCTGCCTTTTATCCCTTAACAAACTTGTAAAAATTCTAAAGAGTGAACTTTGTTTCTCATACAATAAAGCGCTGTCCCCGCAGCGCTGGGACGAGCCCCAGCTTTATTCCACGGAACACGATCCCAGAGAGCCGCAAGGCCCGGGACAGACCCGTCCCACCCACAGCGGGTCCCACGCAGCAGCGCCCAAAGCAGCCCCGGCTCCCTGTGGGTGCCCCGGCCCCGGTGCCCCCGGCCCAGCTCCCTCCCCTCCGGCCGCTCACCTGAGGGCACCGCCCGCTGCCTCCCGGCGCTGCTGCCGAGCCAAGGGCATTGTCCCCGCTCCTGGCCCAAAGGCCGCGTTCTGCGCTGCAGGGCGTGCTCCGGGGGACGCGGGGCCGGGCAGGGACAGGGTGACCCGGGCTGAGGCGGCTGTCCCAGCGCTCTGTCCCCTCACGGAGCTCAGGCCGGGGAGCGGGGCCCTGCCAGCGGCCGCCACTGCCCCGCGGAGCAGAGTCAGGTACGGCCGAAGAGCTGAGTGTGGCCGAGTGGAGCCGACAACAGCCGAGTGTGGCCGATAACAGCCGAGCGTACCCGAAGGGCCGATTCTGGCCGCGATTTGCCGAATCGATCCGAGTTTAGCTCAGGGGAACTGAACGGAACGGGACGAAACCGCGTTCAGCCGAACCGAACTAGATAAACCCAACCGAACTAGATAAGCCGAACCAATGCGAGATCAGCCGAACCACGGTGAACATTACGGGGTCGGTCGAACCGAATCGAGCTGAGCTCCGAATGCAGCGAGCGGCTCCGAGTTCAGCCCAACCGAGCCGAGATCGGCCGAACCCTGCGAGCGGCTCCGAGTTCAGCCGAACCGAACCGAGCTCGGCCGAACCCGGCCTGCTGCTCTCGTGCCCATTAATTAGCGCCAGTGCAGTCACAGCCTAATGAGCACTGAACGTGTCACAGACACACCAGCCACTCTCCTGACACCGACGCTCCCAGGGATTTTCCTTTTTCCAGGGTCCAGAACTCATCCAAAGGAGTGAGAAAATGCTGTCGGCATAAGGAGCTGCACAGTTCATGGGAAGGTCCTCGCTGGACAAATGACACAAAGGGCGCAGGGAGCATTTAAAGCAAACCAAGTGACAAAAAGCCACCTTTAGGTCAGAGAGAGTCTGAATCCTTATAAGGAAATCCACTGAAACAATAAGCTAAGTGATGGAAATTCAGAGTTTGGCTGTGGCCATCACCTTCTGGTAGGAAATGTTATCATATTATCCCAAATAGTCACAGAACAAAACAAATAAAGGCATTTTAAATCCTAAGCTTATGAAGTGTAAGTGCAGATGAGATCAAATGCACAAATTCAGGTAAGATATGGACTGTAATCACTGTTTCTGTGGTTAATGGCTTCGTGTTTGAACCTGAGTGACCCCCCCCTCTCCTCTGTCACCTGTGTGTCCTTGCTGTGTTTCCTTGAGTGTCCCAGAATACCTTGGAAGAGATTCTTCCCCTGCTCCTGTCTGTATTTGTCAGAAATGGTTCACTTAGATAGCACAGCACTCACAAAGAACCAGCCCCACAGGAGTCACAGCACCATTGCACTCACCCTGAAATCCTGGCCAACAGCACCAGCTCTGTGCCCTATCCCAAACTTCTGTCTGCCCAAAGTTTTCAGTCCCAATTCAGCAAGACAAGAGAATTGAAAAGGATTCAAGTCTTGAACATCAGATGGTGACAAAAATGGCCTATTTAATTCTTACCTCTTAACCATGAATTATTGTTATTTCTGCCCTCTGTGCTCCCTTGTCCCTAACCATTCTCCTGGGCAGGATTATAAACTGTACTTTGAAATAACACACTTGCTGCAGCCTGAGGAGCTTCAATATCAGCACCTTGACCTTTACTTTCTGAATTCCCATCCCAGTAACAGGATTTCGGGCAGTGTAAAGTTTTACAATTTGATTTACTCCATAAAATTTCTTGGCCACATGTTCTGCACATCCCTTTCCTCCCTCACAAGCATTTGTTACCTGCATGAGACAAAGCAGCTGAGGTAAGGCACAGACACCAGGTAGAAACAACCAGCTAGTGCAGGAGGACAAGGAGCTGTGCACAGATTTATTTTATTTACATCTCTGTAACTGGAGCTCTAAGATGGAACACAGCTCAGCCAGGAAGGACCTGACAGGGGCTGCAGTGCCCTGCGTGGGGCTGGGCTGGAGCCAAACTGCATCCCTGGGGAGGCCGTGGGCCCAGCCCTCCCTGGCTGTGACATGCAGCCTCTCACTGAGCACCTCCATTCCCCGACAAACAGAACACTCAGGAAGGAACACAATCAACAATTCCAACTACAGAAACCACTGAAGTGCCTTTCAGGACCCCACAGTGTTCAGTCAGTTCTTACTTTGCAGTGCATGAGGTATTTCAGCAATAAATTCCCTGTCATTGCTAAGAGCTGAGCAGCTCCTAAGTGGGAGGGTTTCCAGTTATGTTTTTCTAACAGCAGCTCAAAGCTTAAGCAGTTTCAGCATCCACCAGCCTGAAGCCAGTGGATTTCAGGCATCTTGCATGGATGTTTTATAACTTAAATGGAAATCCTACCTGCAGTCTTAAATACATAAATATCTTCTGCCACTTGGCTCTACTGAAAAGCTTTCTGCTAATATAACACAACATTTCCTTAACAGAGGGATAACCATATTCCTAGTTTGCACATTTTCTATCAGCACATTGGTTATTGCAGCATTTTTCCACGCCAGCCTCTTGGTGCCAGGTGACACATCAGCAGGATTTAAAGCCTTGGGCTTTTCAGGGGAGTTTTTGCCCAAGTTCCAAGTCAGATCCAGCATCTGCAGTTTGGGCAACATGCATCTCCGTGGGTGCTTGCAGCCCACACCCAGCGCTGCAGGGGTTAATGGTGAGGGGACACTTCTCCCACGGGGCACTCTCACTGCTCAGTTCCACCCCAGAAGGCAGCAGGACTGTCCTTCAGCAGCCCAGGTGTTCCCAGGGGCATTCCCAGTGCTCTCCAGGGCCGCACCATCACACCGTGGTCTCTGTTTTCTGAACGCTTCGACTGCGCAGGTGCTGCTGGATCAGCCTCTTCTCTCGTGTGTACCTGAGAGGGAGAAGGCATTGAAATAACCTCTGCAAACCTTCAGCCCAAATTCCAACCAGCTGCTCACATGTGGGTCCATTCCCAACCTTTGTGGCCGTGTCCAACTTTCCCAATGCAGGCAAGTCTAGTATTTTCTAAATGTTTCCTGACACTTGGATTCAACGTGATTATCAGCCCATTGTGCAGTAACAGATCTGTGGCTGCTGCATCCTTTCAGTGCTCCTGGACTCAGGAGAGGCTCACAAATATGGCAGCTCCTCTGGCTTGTACCTGTGGGACAATCCCCCTTTTTGCCAGGGGGATTTCCATCACTCACCTCAAGTTTTAAGGGGACATCAGGCACTGATGTGGCTGAAATGCTACAGAACCAAAATGGTACCATGTGTGGTACTACATTTACCCTTTCCAAGGGAACAGCAGCAAGTACCAACTGAGCCAGTCAAAGGCCCAGAAAGCAAACAGCAAACAAAATAAAGAGAAGTTACCCTGAGGGTCCAAATTTTCTGAAGACCCCACTCTGTGTGTAGTCAGTATTAATTATGGAATCTTTCAGAGCAGCAGGATAGGGGAAGGATTACAAAACCTCCCAATCCCTCCAGCCTTCCCATTACAGTGTTCCACCTGCACTCTGCTACATCCATATGTTCTCCTCATGAGCCAATTGTACAGATTGCCCTGGACTCTGTGACACCTCATTTTGTGTCTGTTTACCTTGCAGTTGTCTGTCGAATCTCCTGCTCCTCCTCTTCATTTATTCTGTGCAGAATGGATTCCAAGAAGGGAAGATGGAATGAAATGTACTGAGCCACCTACCAAGGAGAAGACAATAAAGGCACTACTGACTGTGGTCACTGAGGAAAACCCCACGAGCTATGAGAAGTGAGGATATACATACATCACTGCTGATCTCTTCCATGTCCCCATCCATGAGAAAGAACTTGGCAACCTTCTCAGAGGGCCCCTGCAGCAGCCTGTGCAATAAGGGAACATCCCTACTCCTCAGCTGCTTCTTTTCTGGAATGTATAAGCAGTGTCACAAAACACAGAACATCCCACAGGGGCTCCATCTACCACTTGCAGTCACGAGCCTTTTTCCCTGACAAGGATCCCATACTGACTCGAATGCAAGGACCAGATACCTAACAGGTCCCTAATGTTGTGCCATTTGAAATACCTTCTTCCCCAGTTCCCTCCTATTCTCTCAGGTGTTCCCTTTAATAAAGATCAAATCTCCCTTTTCCTGGAAAAGTAAACTGCTATGGAAGTAACCTGTTTCCACTGACCAGTGAGTACTTTGAACTCAGCATATGCAATGCAAAGCTGTCAGCTGAAATACACACAATTATTCAGCTTTTCCTCTCCAGAGGAGACATCTCTGAAGGGTGCCTGAGAAGGCAAAATGCCACAGCACACACACAATGCACAAACAAGGACAGAGGCCTGGCACAAGTCCTCTTACTCCAAGGGACACATTCCACACACACACAGAATGATCAGAGCTGAAGTGCTCAGGCAGCAGTGGCTGGCTTACCTCCAGATGCATGGATAACATAAAGTGCAAATTCATGGGGGCTGTTTTCTATCTGTGAAAAAAAAAGAAATTCCATTCAGACTCACAGATAATCCCAGCACTTCCCTCTCAGCACATTTTCCCTGTGTGTCTCAGCTTAGAGATTTGGATCAAAGCCTGAGACAGGGATCCTGTCTGTACAAGAGTTAAAGATAGTGGATCTGGACAAGACAGAAAGCTGTGCTGCCATGTTCACTGTCCCTGTGCCAGGGACAGTGAAAACAGCACAGCTTTAGAACACTTACTTTGTAATGTATTCCCTACAACTCTACTCCCTGCTCTGTAATTCCCTTCCTTGTTACTCCTAGAAGTTGTTTTCCTTTCAAGGCACTCACAAGCCTTACTAACCACACAAAGTAATTCTGCAATAGTGAAGTCTCCAGACAAGTTAAATGGGAAGTTTAAGACCATTAAAGTATAAATTAAGCACGAAGCAGCCATGGAAAATCAAGGTATTTGAGAAATATGCAGCAGTAAGGGCAAAGCTACTTCTGACTATGTACGACATTGTTGGGGGAGATGGTTCCAAGGAAATTTAAAAAAAAAAAAAGTCGTTTCAGACAGCATGGCACTGGCCTTGAGCAGTACTTGTAGCTGTAACCTTCCCATCTTTCCACACGCCTGGCTCTCAGAGAAAGCCCATCCCAGACAGGCGCTGGGATAATTGCTGCTGTTTTAGGCCAGCTGCAGTTCCCGGGGCTGTCTGCGGGAGGGCAGCACCACCAGGGTTAAAATTG